ACTAGTGCTTTCTGTACGATGCTGGCTAGAAAGTATGAGATTGGACATATTGGCCTTGTTCATAGTCTTGTGAGGAAAGCATTTAGTCCTTTACTACAGAAGAGTGATGTAGATTTGCGTTTCACAGATGTCCATCTTCTGTTGCTACTTTCATTTTTGGAATTCCATTCTTTTTTCCTCATTGGCTTTTCAATGATACTTAATTTTTTGGTGTATTTTCTCAAAGGCTAACAATATTCGTTCTTAACTAATCAGTAAGTCTGCTTAGAGCTAATATGCTACAACTTCACACTTCACACCTTCTACTTCATACCTGACACTTTATATTTCACACACTCCTCTATCCATGTCACAAATATCTGGGAAATAAAGAGAAAAAGGACACATTGTACACAGGGAAACCATAATATAAATGACAGCTGGTTTCTAATTTAAAAAATGGAGCTAAAAAGAAAATGGAATGCAATATTAAAAGTTGTGAGAGGAAAACATTTAAATATGCAGGAAAAATGTTTTCAAAATGAGAGTGCAAAAAGGATATCTTTAGACAAACAGAAGCTGAGAGAACTTACTACTAGAATACCTATACTCCATGAAATATTAACAAGTCCATTATGTCAAAGGGAAGTTATACCAAAGAGAAATATATATTTATAAGAAGGAATGAAGAATGCCAGAAATGATAAATAACTGGATAAATATGTAGATTGCTTTTTACTCTCATTATTTCTTTAAAAGACAACTAATGATTGAAAGCAAAAATAATAGTAAGTTAGAGTTTATAATATAAATATAATTAAATGATAGAACTAAGATTGCATAAAGAAGAGGGCAGGTAGATAGAATTGCACTATTATTATCATTGCGATGGAGAGGGACTAGTTTAGTACCAGTTACTCATCAGGGCTGGAAGCAAACAATTTCTGTAATTTAGAATTAATAGACATTATAAAATGTCAAAGAATATCATCTTACTCAGGAGAGAGGATAGGAAGGAGAGGAAAAATGAGATGAGAGAGTGGAGGGGGTAATATGGTGGGAGATTAGTTCTCCTACCCTTCTTAGTTTTCAATACATTATGTAATACTAGAGGCCCAGTGCAGTGATTTATGCACTGGTGGGGTCCCTTGTCCTGTCCTGTGGACATCCCTTGAGGGGTCCCTGATTGTGAGAGGGTGCAGGCCAGGCCAAGGGACCTCACCGGTGCATAATCGGGGCTGGGGAGGGACCACAGGAGGGCTCCAGGGAATGTCCTGCCCGTCTCATCCAGTCCCAATCAGCCGGACCCCAGCATCAAGCTACCCTACCGATTGGGGCATCTTCCCCCTGGTGGTCAGTGTGCATCATAGCGACTGGTCGAATGGTCGGACACTTAGCATATTAGGCTTTTATTATATAGGGTAATTTTAATAGATATTTACTATATGTGATCTTGGCCAGTAGTATGATAAGTGAAAATTAATAATGGTTAATAAATTCCTATTCATATTTGAAGGCCTAGTAGAGGAAATATGTTCACATAAAAACAGTCACAATAAAATATGTTTAGGACTCAAATTACCATTTGCATAAAGTTTTATTGAGCAAAAGGAAATTAATTCTACTTGATTAGGAAAGGCTTCACAGAGGAAGTGATATTTGAATTTGACCTTAAATGATAAGTAAGAGTTTATTGGTTAAAGGGTATGTTTGGGGAGAGGGGGAAGTTGTTAGATAAAACATTTTAGACAAAGTGAAGTGTAAAGATCATTTGAATACATCAGGGACTGTGTTTACCTTTGTGCCAGTAACATAAAATAAGATTAATATGTACATCAAAATTTCAACAGGGATTAACAAACAACCACCATTATGTAGCAATAATGACTTGCATCTGGACAAAGTACAGGAAAATTACTCATCATTACTTCTCAAAATTTCATTAAATTAAGTTTCTTTACATGGGAACCTGATTACACATACCTTTCTCCTTCAGAATAATTGCAAGTTACATTAGAAATAGTCAATGGGATTGTATTTCCATTCTAGGAGTAGAGTGGGTAAGCAAGGAACATTATCTCTTTAAGTACAAATGACATGAACAGATAATTTGCTCTAGATATTTGATTTACTGGCTGAAGCTACCTGAATGTTGGGGTGGTCAATGAGTCTCAGTTCTGCTAGCTCAGGGTCATAGCCTTTACTTAATGTCCATGGGATCCATGAATTTTTATCTTAGTAATACTTATTATTGGGTCTGAAATACTTAATCTACCACCTCTCTCCCACTTCTCTCTCCCTGATCCCTCTCCCTCCCTCGCCTGCCTTCTCCCTGTCTTTTTCCTCCCTCCCTTTCTTCCTCTTTTTCCTCCTTCAAGTAATATCCTAGCAGATGATACAAATATATAGAAAAGTATATGACCTTCATCTTTGAAGCTAAATATCACTGTTGATTCCTTCAATACAGTAAAGCCTTGATTGCTTGCTGCTTCAAGCCAAGTAAACCAGAGATTTGGTGAATGCCTGGTGCTCTGAGGGCTATACGGAGGTAGTAGAGCCTATAATATTTGCTATATGTCTCTGTGCTCTCAATATCAGTGGTTCCTCTGTCACTCTGAGTATGATTGCACAACAGTGACCAGGGAAATAGCATACCTAAACATCCTCATTTTCTTTTTTTACTCAGGATTAAGTAGAATAGTGCATTCTCCCCCAAAACATTTCAGTAGATCTGTGTCTACTCCTGAACCCTGGATTTATGTTATTACTGGGTTTAATTGAATATACATTAAAATGCACTGAAACCAGATTTTCTTTGGAAAATATCTCAGATTTGGAGAGCATAAGAGGTTGAGTGGGTTGGTTGGTAAATATGGAGTCTAAAGGACTGAAAAGGTAAAGTTAAAACTCTTTTTTTTTCTGTACATCAGATTATTTATTCACTTGATTCTTAGATTCACTTGTTGATAGATGCATGTTTGTTGTTCATAATTTGTATCTTTACCTTTTTCTTCTTCCTCTTCTTAAAGGATACCTTTCAGCATTTCGTCTAATACTGGTTTAGTGGTGATGAACTCCTTTAGCTTTTCCTTGTCTGTGAAGCTCTTTATCTGACCTTCAATTCTGAATGATAGCTTTGCAGGATAAAGTAATCTTGGTTGTAGGTTCTTGGTATTCATCACTTTGAATATTTCTTGCCATTCCCTTCTGGCCTGCAAAGTTTCTGTTGAGAAATCAGCTGACAGTCGTATGGGTATTCCCTTGTAGGTAATTGAGTCTCTTTCTCTTGCTGCTTTTAAGATTCTCTCTTTGTCTTTTGCTCTTGGCATTTTAATTATGATGTGTCTTGGTGTGGTCCTCTTTGGATTCCTTTTGTTTGGGGTTCTCTGCGCTTCTTGGACCTGTAAGTCCATTTCTTTCACCAGGTGGGGGAAGTTTTCTGTCATTATTTCTTCAAATAGGTTTTCAATATCTTGCTGTCTCTCATCTTCTGGCCCCCCTATAATTCTGATATTGGTGCGCTTGAAGCTGTCCCAGAGGCTCCTTACACTATCTTTGTCTTTTCGGATTCTTTTTTCATTTTGCTTTTCCGGTTGGGTGTTTTTTGCTTCTTCGCATTTCAAATCTTTGACTTGATTCTTGCGCTCCTCTGTTCTGCTATTGGGGGTCTGTATAATGTTCTTTATTTCAGTCAGTGTATGCTTAATTTCTAGTTGGTTCTTTATCACAACATCGAGGGTCTCATTAGATTTCGTGAGGCTCTCATCAAGTTTATTGGCAGCTTCTAGCACATTATTGAAAGCCCTCCAAATTGCGTTTTTTAGCTCTATATCCTCCATTTCTGTCATGTTTTTTTGTCTCTGCATTTTTTATGCTTTCTTGGTACACCCCCTTGTGGTCTTTGTGCGCAGTCTTGTTCTAGTTAAGCCTTGATTGTTGTAGTTAATACTAGAGGGATTTGACCACCAGGCCGACTGGCTGTGAGAATCTTTTTAAAAATAAATTTTATTGATTTTTTACAGAGAGGAAGGGAGAGGGATAGAGAGGTAGAAACATCAATCAGCTGCCTCCTGCACACCCCCTACTGGGGAAGTGCCAGCAACCAAGGTACATGCCCTTGACAGGAATTGAACCTGGGACCCTTCAGTCCACAGGCTGACGCTCTATCCACTGAGCCAAACTGGTTAGGGCTAAAGTTAAATTAAAACTCTTAAAGTAGAACAGTTAATATTTGTTTAGGACATAAAATTGTCCAAGTATTATCTAAATGTTTTGTGTGATCTAATTTATTCCCCATAATTTGTGCTCTGTTTTTCTTATACCTTTCTGGTCTATTTTGAAACCTAATGATGATTACTACCATTTATTGAGCACATGCCATGTGCCAAGGCCTTTAATTGCATTGTCTCTAAGCCTTAGATGTGTACTCAAAGATAGTTACCATCTCCATTTTAGAGATGAGGCTCAGAGAGGTGAAGTAACTTGCCCAGGGTTGCATAGCTTATCAGCATTTGAGCTGAGCATTGATTCATGGTCACTCTGATCTGAGTCTCATCTCCTTGTCTTCACTCTTATGACTGAGGTACCTGCTTTGTCATTTCTCATAAATGCAAGCTTTGGTTAAAACCATTTGAAATGAAGCTTGTGAAAAAGAGAACAGAACTAAATCATTTCTAAGCCCCCTCTATGATTTCTGTAGTTGAGTCTCATTTATAATGTTCATTGTAATTTGCCTGAATTATAAACATTACAACACTCCCAAGAACATAAACATTTGTTTACTTTTGAAATATATAACATATTTACACTACTTAGCTTAGGTTTACTACTAAAAATTGTTTTGCCATTGAATTCAAAACTTCATTTTGAAATGAAATTACTCTTTGAACTTTCCAAAACAGCCTATTAAAAATCAAGTACATTGGCACAAATTAATCAAGTGTGTATTACTGAATGTCTTGTGAATGAAATGTAGCATAATATTTTTTATTTTCTCTCTTGTGGTCTATTTCTTTTCACAGTATGCTTGAAAGACTATACAGAAGAATCTGGTACATTTACTTCTCCAAACTTCCCCAATAATTACCCCAACAACTGGCAGTGCATTTATAGGATCACAGTGGGAACCAGCCAACAGATTGCATTGCATTTCACGAACTTCTCCTTGGAGGAGAACTATGGTGCAGAATGTCTAGGAGATTTTGTGGAAATTAAGTAAGCACCTTTGTTTTATCATAATGCTTTTCATTATTTCCATTCACAATCTTTCCTGGAAAGGTTAAGGAAAATATATAGATTTTGTCTATAAAACTCCTTGCAGTTCTCTTTCTTATAAGCCATAATGTTTTTCATTTGGAGCCTGACTTACCAGAAGAAAAACAGAGAATTGCATAAGGTTCCAATTATTTTGAAGTGATTCTTTTATTGCAAGTATTTGAAAATAAACTCCAGATTTTATTTGGGCAGAGTAAACAAATATACTTCCACTCTGAAATTAGATACTAGTTATTGTTGCATATCTACTTTATATAAAATTAGTTTACATTTTAGTCTGTTCAGTGTCCATTTAGTCTAATTAGATCACAAAATGATGCTAAGATAGCAACCTTATCTTAAGGTTTTCACAAAGTTTTTTGTGTTAAGTAATAAGTCTAGGCTTGTCAATTTCAGTGCATGACATTTTTTCTTTAATTCTTTGAAAGAATGTGTTTAAAAAGTTATATTTATAGTAAAGGTAAGTTAGCTTAATTGAGTTAAATTTGGCATGCATCAGTTTTAAATATTTTATTGGCATTTCAAAAGCCTAAAATCTTATTCTATTTTATGGTAAATTTTATGCTATGATATAAAGTAAGGTACTAAAGTCATACTTGTACTATATCATGCTAAAATAACATAATTGTCTTAATTTATAACAGTTAACCATTGAACTTTTATATTGAGTGAATCATATTTTTAAAAAAATCATCTTTATTGTGGAAAGTATTACAGATGTTCCCTTTGTTGTTGTTTTCTGATTGACTCCCTCCACCCCACACCCACACCTCCCAGGCCTTTACCACACTATTATCTGTGTCCAAGGACTATGCATATATGCATATAATTTCTCCGGTTAATCTCTCCCCACCCCACCCACTCTCACACCTGCCTTCCCTCTGAAATTCATCAGTCTGTTCCATGCTTCTATGTCTCTGGATCTATTTTGTTCAAGTTTATTTTGTTCATTAGATTCCACATATGAATGAGATCATGTGATACTTCTCTTTCCCTAACTGGCTTATTTCGCTTAGCATTATACTCTCCAGGTCCAAAAGAGCTACAGCCCCAGCTGGTTTGACTCAGTGGATGGAGCATTGGCCAAGGACTGAAGGACCCTGGGTTTGATTCTGGTCAAGGGCACCTACTTGGGTTGCAAACTCAATCCCTGGCCCTGGTCGGAGCGCCTGAGGGAGGCAACCAATGAATGTCTCTCTCTCTCTGTCTCTCCCCCTCCCTTCAACTTTCTCTAAAAATCAATGGAAAAATATCCTCTGGTGAAGATTAACAAGGGGGAAAAAAAACCAAAAACACCACTACAGATTATAAACTAGAGTTAAGAACCCAAAAGTTATTGAGGAAAGAATTATTTTTAAAAATTTGCTAGTTAGTTATAAACTAGAGTTAAGAACCCAAAAGTTATTGAGGAATTATTTTTAAAAATTTGCCAGTTAGTTCTGTTGTTCATTAGATTCCACATATGAGTGAAATCATATGGTACAAAAAGAAAAAAAGGAAAATAACTCATTGACATGGACAACAGTGTGATGATTGTGGGGGGTGCAGTGAGGGGTAGGTGGAGGTGGAAGAGGGTACAGGTGGGTAAATGGTGATGGGAAAAATAAAATTTAATTAAAACATGTTGCTATATAAGTCAAATATGATATAGTAAAATTTGAAAATTTTCATAGAAGAAACATTATTTAGAAGAAAAACATTTAAGGCTTCTCTGTAAAATTAAGCAACATTTTTTTATACTTTTAATAATTATGAGTTCTCTGTCTGGTGCTCTCTGACGTTTGCCAGACACTTTATTTGAGAAGAAGACTAAACACTTTTTTTCAGTTGGCCATTGATTATATAAAATGTTATGCCAACCATAACTGATGGTTATTCTTTATTAAATTATTCAAGTACTATTTGATAAATTGAAAACTTAAAATGATGTTTTTAGAGTATTTCTGAGAAATATTGATTGACATAAATTAATGTGTTTGCAATCTGAAAGTTCAAATATGTTAAATGTTTATTCAGTAATATTATCAATAACCTGGTGAATGTTTACATCTGCATTTTGTCACAGAGATGGAGGCTATGAAACATCACCACTCCTGGGAAAATACTGTGGCTCAACTACACCTCCAAGAATCATCTCTCACAGTAATAAATTATGGTTGCAATTTAAGAGTGACATCGTTGTCTCAAGTTCTGGATTCTCAGCTTACTGGGATGGATCATTAACAGGTAAAGATCAAAGAACCATCTTTTATTGGTGAGTCCAATTGGGTTGGTTTCTTGGTTCTTGTATTGCCATACTCTTATCCATATTTTTCCATCTGTGTCTTGTGATTACTATCTATAAACAGTGGTTCTCAACCTTCTGGCCCTTTAAATACAGTTCCTCATGTTGTGACCCAACCATAAAATTATTTTCGTTGCTACAAAACTGTGTCGTATATTTCCTGATATTTATTTGCTTGTTTTTTTTTTTTATTTTGAGACCTTGTAAGATAAAGTGTAGAATGTGGAAAGCTCCTTGAGATACAGATAACCTGTATCAGAATTCACAATGGATCAGATGATCTGATTGTAGGTAGAGAGCAACCCTTCATGGCAAGGGAGGTATTTTAGGTTTACAGGAAAGATTTATTGAAAGCAAGCAGTTGTGCAGAAAGCAACAAGAGGGAGCTATGGCAAGCCAGAAAGAGAAGATGATATATCTGTGGTAGGATAGTGAGGCGATAGACCAGATTAGTGTGTGTATTTGGAAAGGATAGGAGATAGATTAGCTAAATTAACAGTGACTACATTATGAAGTACTTTGAATGCAAGGCTAAGAAGTTTGGACTTGATTTGTAGGTGATGGGAAGTCATAGCATAACCTACGGTCTTAGAAAGGAATTAGGAGGAATGTGCATATATGTATTTTTCTCAAGAGGGTTTATAACTTTTATTAGATTTTCCAGGGTGCCCATGACATCCAAAAGTTAAATAACCACTATAGGTTTTAGAAGAATCTTATAATAATAAAAGCATAATATGCTAATTAGACCAGACGACCTTCCGGACAAAGCAGGGGCTGCGAGGGAAGCCCGGTTCTCGGGTGCCAGAGGGAAGCTGGTGCCGGCAGCCAAGGGAAGGAAGGCCTACTCCTGCATGAATTTTATGCATCGGGCCTCTAGTAGATTATGAAAGACAAACGGGGACACCCAGATCAGTTAGGTGGCTACTGCTGTAATAGTAAAACATTTTAGTACCAATCGGCAGGCAGGTAGACAGGTGAGCAGTTAAAAGCCAGTGGTCCCGAGGATTGGGCCTAAACTGGCAGTTGGACATCCCTCGAGGGGTCCCAGATTGGAGAGGGTGCAGGCTGGGCTGAGGGGACCCGCTCCCGTGCATGAATTTTGTGCACTGGGCCTCTAGTTTGTAATAAACTTCAACATTGTAAGTACTTCTGAATTCACAGCAGCCTTTTGTTTTTGAAATACAAAGTAAGGAAAGATGGTTTGATTCCCTGGTATATTTAATCAAACTGGTCATCTTGGTTAGGAAAAGGAAAGTACACAGATTGACATGAATTAAAATTCTAGGCTAGCTACTCTTTGGTGATGTAGTTGTTTTGTTTTGGCTTAAAGGGGAGTAATAGTAGCACCAGTTTGATATAGACAAGAAGATTCAATGTGACCAGAAAGAAAGTTATGCATCATTCCATCTCTTTCTCCTGTAGGTTGTGGGGGCAATCTCACCACTCCCACTGGCACCTTCACATCTCCCAACTACCCGATGCCCTATTACCACAACTCCGAATGCTACTGGTGGCTGAAAGCCAGCCAGGGCAGCCCATTTGAACTGGAATTTGAAGAGTTTCATTTGGAGCATCATCCAAACTGCACTCTAGATTATTTGGCCGTATGTATACAGTTTCGTTTGTATCACTCACTGCTTCCTCCTTGCCCAACGCACATAAATGCATTTATTTTTATTTTTGATATTTGAGAAAGGGGAACATTTAAACAAAACATCCACATAAACATTTTAAGCAAAATAAAAAATTAAAAGAAAATTTTATGAAAATGATTTGTCTTCTAAGTATAGCATGTATTACTCAATGACTTGATATTTATATATTTAAGTATTAAAATACATTAAGTATGAGATATATATGCTAAGATATTAAAATATATGAAATATGGACTATTAGGATATAAGACTACTAAAAGGGGTTATGAGATTTATCATAATTATTATCAATGTACTCTATATATGTAGTGCAAAATAACAATATAGAGGATTTTATTGGTGAATTAGAGAGGATAATTGAAGTCCTCCAGGTATAACTTTTTATAGAACCAGCTATTCAGGCTTTTCCATTAAAAAACAATCTACATTTTAAAATTTATTAAAGTGTCATAAATTATAAACTATAAAATTAAAAAAGCAAGGAAGACTACTGATAACAGCTATGGTCTCAAAATATGTATTAATCTTTTATTTTTCAATCTTCAGATTTCAACCTGGGTTCACACACAACTATATACTGCCATGACGAAATGGCCAGAGTTCATGGCCCAAGTTTATATATAATTAGCTATAGTTTTAAAGATATTTTGATTCAGGGTTATTCTTTTGTTATGTCATATATATATTCTTTTTCCAGTTCTTGAGATTTACAGAGGCCTTTATATAATGTGTATAGCCACAATCATTTGACATTTAAAATGTTTTATTAAAGGTATATGATGGTCCAAGTACCAGCTCTCACCTGATAACTCAGCTTTGCGGGAATGAGAAACCGCCTCCAATTCGTTCTAGTGGAGACAGCATGTTTTTAAAACTGAGGACAGATGAACACCAACAAGGAGGTGGCTTCCTGGCCAAATACCACCAGAGTAAGTATGTATACTGGCTGCTTGATGCCCATATACTTCAATATATATTTTTAAATCCCCATCCAAGGATATGTTCCCACCAGAGTAAGTATGTATACTGGCTGCTTGATGCCCGTAGGGGTCTTCAATATATATATCTTTAAATCCCCATCCAAGGATATGTTCAGAGAAAGGAAAAGAGAGAGAGAGAGAGAGAGAGAGAGAGAAATATATATAAGAGAGAAAAATATCAATCAACTGCTTCCTGTACTCGCCCCAGCCAGGGACCCAAGCGAAGTGGCAACCTTTTGGTGTATGGGAGGACACTCCAACCAACTAAACAACCTGGCCAGGTCAGGTCTCAATCTTTTGATGAATGAAATCAACGGAAATAAGTATAAGCCACTGGTTTGAACCATTAAAATAAATCTTATCTCCTTATTGAGAAAAATGTAACTCTATTAGGGAAGAAATGCTTATGCATTAAATTTATCATCTGACTAAAGCATGTGGTAAGCTATAGAAACTTAGAGGAGTATTTAATATGCTGAAACAGTTGCAATTCAGCTAAAGATCAGTGTAACAGGTTAACAGCTAATCGGTTTTTATTTGTATCAAACATTAAGATCCTCTCATTAGACATTATTCCATTGCACATAGTGTTTCTAACACATTTTTTTTGGGTCATGTATTTCAAAAGGTACTAATTTTATTAAGGAAAACTATGGTCCTTGTGAGTCACACGTGGAGTAGGCACATTCTTTACTGGAGAAAAATCTGGCCTTTGTAGAGATGCCATTTTAAAATCTGCTTTCCCATGAGGCAATCTGGTGGGATTAAACGAGTATTGAACAGAAGTCCAGGGGCTCAGGGGTTTGTCCTGCCTGGGAAGGTCACTTTTCTTCTCTGGGTTCCATGATTTTTTTCTCTTAAAGAAAGGAGATTAAATTCGGTGATTGTGAAAGCTCCCTTCTAGCTCTAGAATTAAATACTTTCTAAAGTTAGCTTTAAAATGAACATTCAACAAACAAGGTTTTCTTGAATTTATGTTATTTAATAAACACTTTACTTGTATGGTTTTATATTTTGTTAATCCTTACCTGAGGATATTTTTTTCCCATTTTTTTTTTCATTGATTTTTAGAGAAAGTAGAAGGGATGGAAAGAGGGAGGGAGGGAGGGACGGATAGAGGGAAGAAGGGGGGAAGAGAGAGAGAGAGAGAGAGAGAGAGAGAGAGAGAGAAGGAGAGAGTGTGAGAGAGGTATATCAATTGTGCCTCTCTCGCACTCACCCCAACTGGGGCTGGGGCTCAAACCTGCAACCCAGGTACATGTACATGCCCTTGACCTGGATCACACCTGCGACCCTTTGTGTGTGGGCTGACACTAACCATTGTGACACCGGCCAGGGCTACTTGTGTTTTGAAAATACAGTTCCTTGCCCCCATTAAATCTATGTTTACCCATAATTTTGACACAATTACCTAAAAATAGAACCAAAAGTCACAAAATCATAATCAATATACAATATCCCTTCCGATTAGTTGAGAGGATTAATGTTTAACTTTGATTCTGTGTGAATTTGAGGATTCACACTCACTTATATATGGGGTTAGAGTGAACTCTAGTTTTGAATACTAAGGTTTAATGATATAAAGCTTTTTGTTCCTCAGAAATTCATCATTAGTGCATAAAATGCCTCCCAGATTCCAGCAGGGATATATCTGTTTGGTTGAGCATATAATCGTATCTCCAGTTTTGTTATTGCTATCCTAATTTGTTTCTCAGCTACCTTTTATTTCTATGATATTTTATTCTCTCCCATCATTTCAGAACACTAAAGAAGTAGTTTAGTGCACTTACATCCTTAAAGGTAAAGATCAGAGGAACCAGTGAGTTTTTACATATAATTTGCCATTTGAAATTAGAGGCTGGCACATAGTATAATTTTTGAGCACCGAGAACAGCCCACGTGGTTAATGAATACATTTTCCTCTGCCCTGTTTTGTTGTCAGTGAGGCACATGATACCTGTCTGCCTAATAGGTGTCATTTCTTGCAGGCATCTGAAATCACAAAATCATTCTTTGGAAATCCTGTGTGGACAAAAGTGTTACCTAAAAATATGCAAAGACAAATAGTTTGAATACCCCCTGCTTTAGCAAAAGAAGGTTTTAGAAGATCCACAAGTGTATACTTTTCAAACCAAAGTTTATAAATGGTGTTCCAGCCACCTGCCAGGAAGCTGTATTGTGGTAGGAATGCATATATGAACCACGGTCTTCAGAGACAACTTTTTCAATATAACATTTATTTTGCCATTTTCTTGTATTTCATTTCATACAGATAATATAAGAAAGGCTTGAGAAAAGGTATGCATATGCCTTCAGTCATTAGGTTTGGCTGAATTTGGCTCTGACTCCAGGACAAGCCATACCTAGTCTAGAAGTACCTAGTGTAGTCTTGTTGAAAATTAAGCTGAAGAAAATGCCACCATTGGATTGAAGACTGTTTTAAACATTTAAGATTTTCATTTTTCTTCAAATCCTGTGCATTCCCTCTAGGCCTTTGGTACTTCCTGATGACTAACTACAGGCATAACGGAGCCTTTGTTATGAATTACATGCTGACTTTTGAATTCAACAAAGCCATGTTGTTATTTATGTTTAGCATTCACATAGAACTTTGTGTTTTTAAACTGTTGAATTTAAAGGTCAAGATTTCTGTCCCTTCCAAATGTTAAAGTTAGAAAAACAGAAGCATAGAATGTTTAACACACTTCTCTAAACAAACAGATCTCTGAGTAGTGCTGAGCTATTTGGCTTTCCATGGATTCACAGGAATTGGATGTCCATTCTAACGTGAGCAGTTTTCATGACAGTTTCAAGTTGCTGAATTTACTTAAGCAATATTTTACCTTGTTCTAAATGGAGACCTTTTAACTATAAATATGCCACACCAAATATACTGGGTGTCCAAAAAAAAATGTATACACACTTTAACAGCTGATAGCTCTACTGATATTTCTTTCTT